TTAGGAGCAGCTGCACCCTTAATTAAAAGCTTCCAGATTGCCTGTTGTGTCCCCTTTACTGCTTCTAGTGCAGAACAGTTTGGGAACAAGTGATAAACAACCCCATACTAGACAGATTATTTCCCCTGCTTACTATAAAAAGGTAAAGATACCCCCTGACATTAAGTCTAGTTGAGTCTGACTCTGGGGGGTGGTGCTCATCTCCATTTCTAAGCCGAAGAGCCAGCGTTGTCCATTGATGCCTCCAAGGTCATGTGGCCAGCATGACTGCATGGAGTACCATCACCTTCCTGCCAGAATGTTACCTATTCATCTACTCACATTTGCATGTTTTCGAACTGCTAGGTTGGCAGAAGCTGGAGCTAACAGCAGGATCTCACCCCACTCCCCAGACTCTGAATCGTTGACCTTTTGGTCAGCAAGTTCAGCAGCTCAGCGGGTTAACCCACTGCACTGCCTCTGTTTTGTTCTATATTTTACTATAGAACAAAACCAACAAATAATCAAAGAAACCAACAATTAAAGCTCCTGCTTCAAATGGATAAGATAAACTGCCTGAAATTAGTTAGCCTTTAAGCATGCAGAAGAGAAATAACTAATGCGATTGGAAGGAAACTTTTAATTAACATTGTAGTGGACTTTTGTTGAACATTTGTTTATTTATTTGTACATCACTGCTTTATTTACTTATTTATACACCACTGCTTTGTGAGTAAAAACTATGGCGGGATCATGGTTATGGAAAAGTGCATTTCTAGGATAATAGTGTTATATAAAGAGTAGTGTGATATCTCAGTTATAATTTTGCTTTCAGTCAATTTGAAGAAAAATTATGTAGCATATGCTTTCAAGGGACATGTTTTCTTTTCATTATGACAGAAGATCTATATGTCTAATCTACAATATCTAGCAAGCTTAGCTGATGGATAGAGAGAGAGAGAGAGAAGACAGATTATAGTGCACTAAAGCTTAGTAATTGGCTTGGTTTTTAATGCTTTGGCCCAGCTTGAAAACCTGAGAACTAATGGTAATCAGTAGCAATCTTGATGTGCAGAGTAGCTATCTTTCACCAATTCCACAAAAGTCACTTCATACGGTTCAAATAGCTAGGTGTCTCTACAAAACAAAGGCAGCCTCACTGATGTTAGCCTACAGCACCCATCTTCTTTGGCCAGCATACCTTATGGTTGAGTGATGATAGGAATTGTAGTCCAATACCCAAAAGACCAGAAGTGTGAAGAACTCTCTCTTTTAATGCAGCAGGCCTTCCCCCATTTGTTGTCTCCTGAGCCATTTTAATCACCCTTTATTACAGAAACCTAGACCCAAAATATGTGGAAATCTTCCTAAAAGGTAGTACAGATGCTTATGACTCATTGTCCTTGGAACAAATGTCTGCTCTGGGAAAAACCCGGTGGCGAGCTTTGAGGTGCCATTTTACATTTCTTGTAATATCCTGGATAAATGACAGGCATTGTAGAACATTTTATATGGCTGTCTGTTGCCATGTAAGCCAGTTATTGATGGTACAGCACTGAAGCAGGAAGGAGTAAGCGGCAGGTCCTTTGCTATGGCCCTCTAAGTTCTGAGCAGAGGAAAATAATTTTTGGGATTGGTCCCTGGTTGGTTTTGAGTGGCTGATCATACTGCCCTGCTTTAACAAAATTGTTGTCATGTTATCTCTCATTTGGTTGTCTAATTCAAACGGCTAAATTTCATCTGTGTTGTGAACATTGCAGTGGAGAGCAATGGATCAGCAAAACAGGAAGACGGGACTCAGAGCAACAGTGTGCTATCTCATTATTTGGCAATATAGTGGTCTCTGGGCTGAAGTGTGGCAATCTTATATGTTTCTTAGATAATGCATGTGAAAGAGACAATAAGATAATTCCTCATATGGAGCTCCCAGTGGTGCAATGCATTAAACCCTTGTGCAGGCTGAACTGCTGACCGAAAGGCTGGTGGTTCATATCCGGGGAGCTCCCTTTCAAATCCAGGTGAGCTCCCTTCTGTCAGCTCCAGCTCCTCATGCAGGGACATGAGAGAAGCCTCTCACAGGATGGTAAAACATCCAGGCATCCCCTGTTCAACGATGAAGTGCAGATGGCCAGTTCTCTCACACCAGAAACAACTTGCAGTTTCTCAAGTCACTCTTGACACAAAAAATACACTTCATGGGTCAGTATTACCTTTTGTTCAACGATGAAGTACTGACGAACCAATGAAATATTCTGAACAACCCACAGGTTTACATATCAAGAAAGAGAAGATTAATTATCTAACTTATTTAGTTGGGCAAAGGACACATCATACAATATTATAACAGCATGATTGGCTTGTGCAGGATATTTCAAATACCACATTTGAAAATGTTCCGAAACCCAAAAGTGTCCTTATTGGTGGCTGATGTGATGATTCAATGTGATGATTCAATATTATGCCAATATTTTTCAGGCTATGTGTATAAGGTATGCATGAAGCTAATTAATGTTGTAGTTAGATTTGGGTTCTATCTCAAAAATACATCATAATGTACATATATGCAATATTGATATTCCAGAATCCAGACACGTTAGCTTCTAAGCTTTTTGGATAAGGGATATTTAAGTAAAGTTAAAGGTTTCAGCTGACATTAAGTCTAGTTGTGTCCAACTCTGGGAGGTGGTACTCATCTCAATTTCTAAGCTGAAGAGCTGGTGTTCCCCATAGACACCTCTAAGGTCATGTGGCCAGCATGACTGCAAGGGGCACCATTACTTTTCTGCAGAAATTGTATCTATTGATCTACTTACATTTGCATGTTTTCAAAATGCTAGATTGGCAGAAACTGGGGCTAACAGCGGGAGCTCACGCCGCTCCCCTGATGTAAATTGCCAATCTTTTGATCAGCAAGTTCAGCAGCTCAGTGGTTTAACCTGCTGTACCACTGGGGGGGGGGGGGGGGGGGGGCAGGGATATTTAACATGTCCTAAAAATCCAAGATCAAAATATTGTGTCCACACAGTCTAAATTCTGCTTTAAGAAAAGGTGACTGTGACTTATCAATGATGTTTGCATTTCTCATTTAACTTATTTGTTCTGGTTTGTGAGACGGGGCACTTATTTGAGAGCACAGCTGCAGAAACTTTCCTTCAGCAAAATTATTTATTTATCAGAGGGTTCAAGATATCTAATTCCAAGGCAGATGTGTATTAGGGTAGGGGGAAAACATTTTCTGCTGTTTGGGTAACCTGTCTCAGTCCCTATGTGGGTAGACAGAATGTACTTTTACTTGTTCTTTGCTACTCTCTTACTTTGGTCCTTTCTCCTTTCTTTCCTCTGCAGCACCACAATAACCCTGTTGACGCTACTGCCAAGACTGGAAAAGGTGAGTAACGTGTAACATACTTTCTAGTGCACATAGGCAGGCGCACATAGTCAACGTGGATTCTAAGGAAAAAAAGTGGCTTTCTTTATAGATCTAGAAACAAGAATGGCTTATGGTGCATCTGCACTATATCATTCTTGCAGTTTGATACTGCTTTAACTATCGTGGCTCAAGGCTATGAAATCCTGAGATTCATAATTTGTTGAAGCACCAGCAATTTATCAGAAAAGACTAAAGACATTTCAAAACGACTCTCAGAATCCCATAGCATCGAGCTACGGCAGTTAAAGGGGTGTCAAACTGCATTCATTCTGCAGTGTGGATGTAGCCTTAGATGGGATGCAGGGTATTGTAGAGATCATAGCTGCAGCTTGAGAGAAGGTCAGTACAACTGAATCATGCTGGTTGTAAAAGCTTGGAAGCTATTATTTATCAGTTCATAGCTCTCAAAATTTCACGCCTGATCATGCTGCTTGCTGTGAGGATTCTGAGAGTTGCAGTCAAAAATTAATGTTTCGAAGTGAAGAAGATGGGAAGTGACGGTTGATTTGGGTTGATTGATTTTACTGTGGTATTGTTTTATATATTGATGGTGTGAATTATGTTTTCCTTTGATATTGATGCATCTGTATCTATTGCACCGTATGTATTGTTACATTACGAGTGCTTTGTAAGCCACCCCAAGTCCCTTTTGGGAGATGGTGGCAGGGTAGAAATTAAGTTTTTTTTAATTATTATTTGAAACACAACAAGGTAAGTACACAGCAAACAAGGTCACTCTGCTGGCTGTTGTATTGGATCACACGTCGGACACTTCCCAAGTATCTAGGACTATTGTTGTTATTATTATTTTACTGACACAAAAACACAGTATGTCACAGCAAACAAGCTATATATACTGGATTTCATATCACAAAAAAATCACAAGTCGAACAATTCCCAAGCATCTAGGATTGTGTATTTTCGAACAATGTGCGTAGATCCAAGTAAGGTGGCCTTTTGCAGTTGACAGATCGTGATTTTGTCAATGTTTGTTGTTTCCAAATGCTGGCTGAGGTCTTTTGGCACAGCACCCAAAATTATTATTATTATTATTATTATTTGGATCTGGGATTAGATGTGATATAAAGGGATAAAATGTGAACAGAGCAGGGAAAGCGAAGGTAAAGTGCCCAAAAACCACATTCGAAAATGGGGAAGTTTTGAGTTGAATACCTACCCCCAAAGAGGCAGCAACCCTGACTTCTTTCTGTGTTTTCTCCACAGCTTACGGAAGCCGCCGCCTTTTCTCCATGGTGTCCCTTCCCATCGTGTGTCAATGCTAAGGGGAGAGGATGTTGTCTCTCCTTTGTTCCCCACTACCAAAGAAGCCACTCATATCATGGGCTTGGATAGAAGGAGCTACCACAGATTAACCAGCCGGCTCCTGTATCTGTCCGTGTGTCTGTCTGGTCAGTTATTGTGTCAATAAAGTGATCGTGATGGGATTTTCTGTGTTTTTGTCCCTCTTCTTTGGAAAAGAGAGCAAGAATTCAAGGCAGGCAGGGGACAGTTCTTGAAGCAGCCCAGTTTTGGCTTTGGGAGGACGCTGGCCTGAGCAGACAGACTCAGAAGATCAGTTGAGTACGAAAAGTTTATGTTCACTGGTTTTATTGGAGGGGGGAGCGGGGTGGGTGGGTTGTATCCTCCTTCTGGAGGGATGCTGCAGCAATGTCACATTGGGAGGAATCCTATCCAAAACTGAACAGCTTGTCCAGAGGGGGAACCTTGTTCTGTATTACTTCTTGGGAGACAAATAAAGAAATCCTTGGTTCCTGCAAGTTTATTCTTCCTCACCTGGAGAACATGCTGGTTTTTCCTCCGACTGCAGGACACAAAGAAACGCAGCAGTACCAAGAGACACACAGGCTGGCATAATGGAAAGGTTTCCTCAAAGCATGCTTGAACTATTGAACTTGGGCATTTGCAGCCCAAGTATGGTAAACCTACAGCTCCTGGGTCAGATATCGCCCACTAGGTTTTTCTGTCCAGTCTGAAGCTTCTTCTGCTATTGCTGATCTATGTTCAGAGAGAAAAGACATTAAAAATTAAAATATAGAGGCTCTGCTGCATGGAACTGAATTCTGCATAGCCCTAGAACTGTTTTAAAATCCTAGACTTCACAGTACTTGATGCCTTTCTGGTCTGGGCACCTGCTTTTCTTGACACCAGCTTTTTCTTCAATAACAGGTTTCTTCATAGAGACCCATGGATACTCCACACTTAATATTACTTCTGCAAACATTACATGTACACTGTAGAATTAATGTTTGACATCAGTTTAACTGTCATAGGTCAATGCTATGGACTAATTGGAGTTGTAGTTTTAACCGGTTTTAAGTCTTCTTTGCCAAAGACTGTTGGTGTCTCAGCAATTCCCAGGATTTTATAGCACTGATGTATGGCAGTCAAAGTGGTGTTAAACTGTATTAATTCAACAGTATAGATGCAGTCTGGTACACTCCTTAGTCCTAGGATGAAGGGGGAAAGTGCAAATCACATGTGGCTTCAACCATTTTATAAATATTCGTCAATTCCTATAAACACCAACTAGAAGATATGGGAGAAATAGCACATTTTTTGTTTTCTTGAGCTACTTTTCCAAAAAGGCATAGCCTTAAATTGGCTTAGAGGGGACCAAAATGTGGCAGTGCCATAGTAATGTTGTTTTTTTAGTGCATGGCTCTCCAATGTCCCCTGAGGAAAGCACTGGGTCTCCCTAATTCCCAAAAGTTGCCAATCTCTGTCTTAAACTCTGATATTCCTGTTCCCACACATGGGCCATCTGTCCTTAGAATCAGGTGATTTTATAATAATATACTTTATTTATATTCTGTCTTATCTCCCCAAGGGGAATCAGGGCGGATTACAGTACACATATGTGGCAAACGTTCAATGCTATTATACAATTAACAAAGACAGACAATACATAAACAGAGGTAAAGGCTTCCCATTTTTTTTCCATCTCTGGCATCTGTGTTTGACTCAGGCCATGGGGAGGTGCTGCCGTTCCACCTTCCATGCCGAGGAGCTTTATTGTTCGTAGACACTCTCCTGATCGAATCACCAGCATGTCCTCATGGTCACCTTTTACTATCTCCCAGCCAAAGCAGTACCTATATATCTACTCACATTGCTGTTTTCCAACTGCTAGGTGAGCGGAAGCTGAGTTGACAGCAGGAGCTCACCCCAACCCGGGCTTGAACTGCCGACCTTTCGATCGGCAAGATTTTCGTTAACCTGCTGTGTTAAGCCCAGCCCATACACATCTATTTGAGCCATTTAGCAAGATATGAGCAGAGGAACTGAACTGCTCGGATTCTTTGGGGAGGAGAGAGGATTCTCACCTATGCTGGTGAGCTTTGTTTCCGATTCTTGTGGCGGTATATGGCATTCTGCTGCTCATATGCGAGGGGGGCATCGCTGTGGTAAAAGCGTAGGCGGTACAGCAGCCGGATCCACTGCCCAAATACTTCCTCCTGTTTGAGGGGGTGCGTCAAAAGTTGCAGGTAAAAGGTGCGCCCATTGGCCAAGCGAACTTTAAGCTGGAATCGAGACTCATCGTGGACATAAAGCCGCACAAACTTCAAGGGCAGAAGCCTGCCGAGTAAGATGGGAGAGGTATGGGTGTTAAGTGAGAGAGTCCCTTTCTCTGGTACCTAGAGGCTGCTCTTACAGCATTATGCCTGCAAATTGCGGAATCCTGATTGTTATTCCTTGCAGCTTTTGCTCAGTTTCTAGGCCTATCAATCAATTTTAGAACTGTCTAAGGAGCTCATTTGTTCAAAACATTTTCAGGAGAGTTTTCCAATTAATGTAAACTAGCATTATTTTTCAACTAGATTTCATTCTATTCATTTCAGGTGCAGTAGAGGGAAACTCTGTTCTGTGGAAAGCTAGATTCCTTTGAAAATAACCTCAGATATCACGATGCTGGTTAGTGAACATGACCAAAGCCACCAGTGGACAGAGGAGCTACTTTATCCCCTTGTGTCTCCTTATATAATAATAATATACTGGGTGTAGTGCCTAAAGACCTTGGCCTGCACTTAAACACAATTGGCGCTGACAAAATTACCATCTGCCAGCTGCAGAAGGCCACCTTACTGGGATCTGCACGCATCATTCGCCAATTCATCACAGAGTCCTAGACACTTGGGAAGTGTCTAGGACTCTTCCCAATACAACAGCCAGCAGAATTATCTTATCTGTTGTGGACTCATCTTGATGTGTTTCAAATAATAAAAATAATAATAATAATAATAATAATTTGCCAATACATCACACAGTCCTAGACACTGTGTCTGACATGTGATCCAATACAACAGCCAGCATAGTTGTCTTGTTTGCTGTGTACTAATCTTGTTGTGTTTCAAATAATAATAATAATAATAATAATAATAATAATAATAATAATAATAATTTATTTTTATTCTGTCCCATCTCCCCACGTGGGACTTGGGACAGCTCACAACAAAAATGGAAGCCATTCAATCCCAAACATACATAATAAATATCTAAGTAATATAACACAAATAAACAATATAAATAATAACAAATCAATAAAAACACAATCAAATAAGCAATTTGTGCAAAAATTAAAAGCTAAATTAGTAAGTTAAATAACTTATCCCTCTCTTCACAAAACAGTCTGCAATCTCCCTTCTTGTCAGAGGTCTGAAATCATTTCTAGGTCATGAAATCAGGCCAACAAGTATGTTTAGCCCTCGAGTCCCAGGTTGCCTACCCTGATTTAAGACTTAATTAGAAGCAAGTGACGTGAAACAATGGCTTCAAACTACAGGAAAGGAGATTCCAACTGAACATTAAGAAGAACTTCCTAACTATGAGAGCTCTTCAGCAGTGGAACTCTTTGCCCCAGACAGTGGTGGAAGCTCCGTCTTTGGAGGCTTTTAAGAAGAGGCTGGATGGTCATTTGTCGGGGTGATTTGAATGCAATTTTCCTGCTTCTTGGCAGGGGGTTGGACTGGATGGCCCACGAGGTCTCTTTGAATTCTACAAGTCTATAATTCTCCTCTGACAGAAAGTAAATTCGTCCAATAAAGCAGACCCCAGTGTTACCACTAATTTTCTGAGTGGAAATATCCCAGGCATGTTATAGCTTTTCTGACCGCTTTAGCCCATATGTGTCTCTGTGTGTAATGCCATGTAGCAATAAGTAATTATACATCTAACTCAGAGGAAGCATTAAAAGTCTTCAAGCTTTTACTATTATAGCTTGAATCTCTTTCTCAAACTTCTGTTAAGATCCCAAAGGTCTCCCCATTTTGCATGAGCTACGTTTACTTTCCAGTTGCTCATCCAGAGAAACTGGAAGCCTGCTGCTTTGAAGTGCCTTGGGGCTTCTTAATTTTTTTCCATTTGTGATCCCTTTCTGCCCAAGATATTTTTATGTGACCCCAGGTATATAGGTATATAAAGTGTAATAAATCAGCGTTTGTAAGCAGGCTGATTTTCCTTTTTGTGGAGTACAACTGAAACACTTTTTGCAGAGTCCAATGTAAACACTGCACATTGTTGGGGTGTTGTGTGGTTTCCGAGCTGTATGGCTGTGTTCTAGCAGCATTTTTTCCTGACATTTTGCCCACATCTGTGGCTGGCTTCTTCAGCATGTTGTTGCTAACAGATTGGTGTACATGGATGGCATTCAGAAACCTTCTGTTGCCAATTTTTTCATGACCTCAACACTGCTAAGGTACCCACAGTTTAAGAAGCAGTGTATTAGAGGACCCTGCCTGGACACCAGTGCTAATAAGAGATTCAAGTGTCCATTTAATCAACTTTCATTGTGATGTGAGCAGCCATTTTAATACTGACAATTGATAAAATCTAGGCTCAATCAGCAGTGGCAACTTCTGCGGTAAAGGTGCTCATTATCATAGTTGTCCTCACAGCAATGTCCCCTTGCCTCCCCCTTCCCCCCAAATGTAGCAAGATCATTTCACCAAAATGCAGTAAAATGCATTACTGGGAATCATGTTGTGAGACCAATGACATACGGTGCAATGTATTTTTCCTACCCCTGGGACTTTTGGAGAAGGATGACCTTTGAGATCACAACTTTTTGGAAAACCAGAATCTCCAAAGCCTTTTGGAAGCATGACCTTTTGGAGATTATTTGGCATTCACTACCATTTGAAAAATCATAACCCTTTTGTAAAGTATGATCTCTCTGAGAAGAGCAAAAAATCCATTTAAGTGATTTTTTTATTTAGTGGTATAGAGCCAGTAGTATTCATGGAAGGCAAATTTGGCTTCTCAGTTGTTAGACTGATGTAACTAGATATCTCTTTGAACTGTTAAGAACAAAGATTATGTCAATGCACAAAATATATAGCAGATTTTTCAGAAGTGTTATTTCAGTTGCCCCAAAACCATCTACTCTCCCATAAAATATATTTGGTTTTAAATCACGCTATCAAGAGCCAAAAATAAGTAGTCTTCGCTAAAAATAACACAGTTGGCTTACTTACAAACTTCATACATGTACATTGTATATCAGTTGAAAGTTTAAATAGTAAGTTCTCTAAGGCATTCTGTTTCAGCCTCTTCTGTGTTTTATGTCTAATGCATACTCTCTTACTGTAAACTGAACGCAATCTAAACACAACAGACTATACAATAACTGCAAAAAATGGAGTCTCGGTCTGAATAGTCCCAGATCTGATTGCATTCTGTTTCAGTCTCTTCTATGTCTTATGTCTTATGCATACTCTCTTAATGCAAACTGAACACAACCAAAACACAACAGACTATACAATAACTGCTAAAAATGGAGTCTCGGTCTGAATAGTCCCAAATCTGATTGCATGGTCTGCAGTCCCTCCCAAAACTTTAAACAACATAGAGTTAATGGCAAACTTCATACCAAAATATACATATACAATTCAGCAATCTGAATTATATACATAACAAATAACTAGTATAGGAGGCTTGTAGAAAGTTGATATGTCCCACAGGGACAGAACTTCAAATTCATGCGTGGCAGCCTCCTTGTAAAAACTTCCAGGCTGTTTTCTTCTCCCTTAATCCTAAGCACACGCACTTCTATATGCCACCGTAAGGAAGGCTCCTTGCTCTTTGTGTGACAAAGACCTGCCCTGTTAAAATGCTTTGTGGATAATGTGGAAGGGACTCACCCAAAGAGCTGCAGCTCCTCATCTGGAAAAGGCAATGCTTCTGGACACAGACATTCACACTGTGTAGCTAAGGCTGGGGTTGGCCGTGCCAGCAACATGAGATCGGGCATTTCCAGACTTGGACTGGTGGCAGCAATGCCCACGGTGACCCTGTTGGCGACATCCCCCGTCTTGGTTACCTAGAAAATAGAGGAGCGGAAGAGACCAACACCATTGGCAGGGATTAAATAAGTTGCTGTTTGGACTACAAACCTTAGATTCCCCTAATACTTGGGGATTTGGGGAACTGTGGTCGAGAATGATAACTTTTTCAGTCTATGCTTGTTTGGCATGTTAATATTACAATTACAGTGTTAATTGTACTCCATATTTGGGAGAAGGGGAGGCAAGCCTTAAAGATCATTCAGATCCAGATATCAAGTCTACCTACCACAGTCAATTAATAGGATGTCTATCACACATAAAGTATGGGGGTAGGCTTCTGTATCTTTTATACTGGGCCTTACCTGCATGAAATTGCTCTCAAACAGGGGGCAATCTTTCAGCCCACCATACTCCCCGCTGGCTAGGCACCTCCGCAGGTCCCCCATTCCAAAATCTGGACATCCGGTGGGCACTGAAGTGGTCTGGGCTCCTATGGCCTAGAACCTGTCGGGAAACAAAGAGAGCGCCATGGGGCAAGTTCCAAAACATAATGCCATTGGGCACCTACACAATGACTATTTAAACCAAATTCAACTCTGTATTGAAGAAAGTGGCTTCACTGTGCAGATGATTACATGGGACACGTGTCGTTTTTAAATGGCCCTCCAGATGACAGGCTACAAGGAAGGCACTGGTAAATCTACTTCTGAGAATTCCTTGCTTAAGAAAACCCTGATAAGAGATTTACAGTCACATATGTAGAGAATATCATAGAATCATAGAATCAAAGTGTTGGAAGAGACCTCATGGGCCATCCAGTCCAACCCCCTGCCAAGAAGCAGGAATATTGCATTCAAATCACCCCTGACAGATGGCCATCCAGCCTCTGTTTAAAAGCTTCCAAAGAAGGAGCCTCCACCACACTCCGGGGCAGAGAGTTCCACTGCTGAACGGCTCTCACAGTCAGGAAGTTCTTCCTCATGTTCAGATGGAATCTCCTCTCTTGTAGTTTGAAGCCATTGTTCCTAGTCTCCAGGGAAGCAGAAAACAAGCTTGCTCCCTCCTCCCTGTGGCTTCCTCTCACATATTTATACATGGCTAACGAAGTTATATCAATATAACTAACGAAGAAGTAGCTAACTAACCTGTACCCTAGGAGCACCTGGTGGCGCAATGGGTTAAACTCTTGTGCTGGCAGGACTGAAGACAGATAGGTCGGAGGTTTGAATGCGCGGAGAGTGTGGATGAGCTCCCTCTGTCAGCTCCAGCTCCCCATGCAGGGACATGAGAGAAGCCTCCCACAAGGATGGTAAAACATCAAAAACACCAGGGTGTCCCCTGGGCAATATCCTTGCAGATAGGTAATTCTCTCACACCAGAAACAACCTGCAGATTTTCAAGTTGCTCCTGACACGAACCCTCCCCCCCCCCAAAACCTGTACCCTGCAATAGCTCACAAATGAAAACTGGGACATATGTGATCAAGCAATATCAGAGTGCAGGCAAGATGACAGAAGTTATTAAAGAGGAAGAACAAATAAGCCTAGGAGAGGCTACCACAGTTTGCTTTTACCTGGGAACCTAATAATAATAATAATAATAATAATAATAATAATAATAATAATAGACTTTCTTTATATTCCACCCTTCTCCCTGTGGGGACTCACAGCAGATTACAGTATAAACAGATACCAGCAAACATTCAATGCCTTGTTACAATACAATGAGTCACACAAACACAAACAAAGGCAAAGGCTTCTCCTTTCATTTCTGGCTTCGGAGGCAGTGCTCATCTCTGGCTCTGGGGAGGTGCTGTTCTCCATTTCCAAGCCAAGGAGCCTGTATTGTCACATCCTGGTCGTGTGATCGCCATGACTGCTTGGAGCATCTTATGCCTTTCCCGTCAAAGTGGTACCTATTTATCTACTCACACTTGCATGTTTTTGAACTGCTAGGTTAGCAGGAGCTAGGGCTAACAGCAGGACCTCATCCTGTCCTGTGGATTCCAACTGCCAACCTTCAGGTCAACAGTTCAACAACACAAGGGTTTAACCCATTGCGCCACTGTGGCCTCTTAAATTAAACACATAAATAACATATTAAACATCAATAAACTATAACAGAAACATAAATAGACATGTAAAAACCATAAGTGAACATTTAAAAACCACGTGTATTTTTAAGGCAGCTTTTCACTAATCTCCGCCTGGCCTTTTAAATTGCCTTGAACAGGCAGGATTACTTTTAATATATATGTGTTACAATTTTTATGCTTATATTGTTTTGTTAATCATATGTTTATGTTGTTTACTCTGTATTTATTGATGATGTTACTTGGGAACCGCTCTGAGTCCCCCCGTGGAGATAGAGCGCTATATAAATATATATAAATAAAGATTATTATTATTATTATTATTATTATTATTACATCAGCCTTGCTTAACATCTTTACTAATGATCAGCCACATCCACCATTGACAAAGAGCTTTATATATGCTGACCTTGGCCTAACAACACAAGCAAAAGACTTTGAAACAGTCAAAAACCAATTTACTAATGCCCTGAAAGATCTCTCCAACTATTACAAAGATAACCACCTGAAGCCTAACCCTACCAAGACACAAGTGTGTGCTTTCCACCTACATAGCCGTGAAGCTATCAGGAAATTGAACGTTACCTGGGAAGGCCAATCCTAAATATCTCAGCAGCACCAAAGATCGAACACTAACATTTAGGAAACACCAAGCACAAAGTATATCAACTTATAGGTAGCACGTGGGGTGCAGACCCAAAACTAATAAGAACATCAGCCCTGGCCTTGTCTTACTCAACTGTTGAGTATGCCTGCCCTGTTTGGCACAAGTCTATCCATGCGAAACAGGTGAACATAGCATTGAATGAAACATCTAGAATATGTTAGACGAGTGGGCTTAATAACAAAAGACCCTCCTCAAAAATGTACAGCAGAGCAACACAGCAGCAGCAGTGTGACCCAGCAACAGTAGCCCAAAGTGATACAGGAACAAAAAGAGACAGACCAATGTTATATCTTCCATACGAGGCTTCTCTTTGTAGTAAAATAATATAGTTGTACTATTTACAATAACAAGGTTTCTATAACACTAATAAAAATACATAGTAGCTTTATACACACAGCAGGCTTTATACCCTAGAGCAGTGTTTCTCAACCTGGGGGTCGGGACCCCTGGGGGGGTTGTGAGGGGGTGTCAGAGGGGTCACCAAAGACCATCAGAAAACGAAGTATTTTCTGTTGGTCATAGGTAGGCTGTTAGGGATTGTGGGAGTTGGAAGCCCAAAACACCTGGAGGAAGGCCCAAGTTTGCCCATGCCTGTTATAGAATCTATCAACAGGTGTAGGTTTGACACGACAAAAAAAAGCCACCCCACAATAGTCTCAAATCAAGGGAAAGTTTCATGAGAACAACCACTCCTCTTAATATTCTCACCAGCAACAGCAAGCACATCCATGTGGGCAGAAAAATCAAGCAGTTCCAGCTGGATGGTCCCTAAAATTATTTAGCTGCTTGTGCTCCCTTTATTTTATCAGTTTTATACTTGTTTGGACACAAAATCTTTATAAATAAAAAATGTAATGTTCGTTTGTGGGATTAGCATAACTCAGAAACCACTGGACGAATTGACACCAAATTTGGATAATAATACGCCTATCAGGCCAACAAGTGACTATCCCTCATAAAAACATTGAAAAGCACAGCAGAAGAGACTTAAAAGCCAAAACAAAAACAAAAATTACATTACAACGCATGCACAAAACCACACATATAAACGCAAACACACATATTACACACAAAACACATCTACACAGACTGGGCCACAGCAACACGTGGCAGGGGACGGCTAGTGAATATATAAGCAAGCGTTTTAGTGACAGCCTGAGCGCGAGGCGGCTCGAATTGTGTGTTTTGTTTATTTAAAGCAAGCGCGCGCCCCATCTCTGCCGCGCCCTGATTGGCTCCTCTCCGTCTCCCTCTCTCTTCCTTGATTGCCCCAAGCTTTTCCCGTGCTGCTTTGCGGCTCTTGAAGCGTCACATGACATGGGAAAGGAGCGATGGTGGCTCTGAGGGTGGAGGGAAGGCCCGGCCGCCTCGCTCGCCTGGTTTCCCTTCAGCTTTTCCTCTCCTTCGTCCAGGCCGCCGGAGCCGGGAGCTGCCGGGGAGAGCCGGGTCTCAGGGTAAGAGAACGAGGGGGTTCCTGATGGAAATGTCTTTGGGAAACCGAGGGAATTGGGCCATTCACACAACTCAATTGCACTAGGCCAGGCGTGGGCAAACTTAGGCCCTCCAGGTGTTTTGGATTTCAACTCCCACCATTCCTAACAGCCTCAGGCCCACCATTCCCTTGTTGAAACAGCTCCACTGGCTCCCGATTAATTTCCAGGCCCAATTTGAGGTGCTGGTTCTAACCTATAAAGCCCCACACCAGTGGTTCTCAACCTGTGGGTCCCCAGATGTGTTGGCCTTCAACTCCCAGAAATCCTAACAGTTTGTAAACTGGCTAGGATTTCTGGGAGTTGTAGGCCAAAACACATGGGAACCCACACGGTTTCGGTCCAGGCTACTTAAGATATCGTGTCTTACCATATAGACTGGGCAGACCCTTAAGGTCAAGTAGTGAGGTGCTAATCTCCATCCAGACTGGGGACATACTTCGCTTAAAACTTCCAGAGATAGCAGTTTCTCGTGCACCAAAGTTCTAGGATGCATTGCCAGAAGTGATTTGACCAGCCCCCACCTTCGCGTCCTTTAGGAAAAATATGAAGACTTTCCTGTTTGGAAAAGCTTTTAATTGAGTCATAGGGCGTATCTACATAGGATGTATCTGAACTGTAGAATTAATGCTGTTTGATACCCCTTTAACTGTCATTTATTTATTTATTTATTTGTTGTGTCAGGGCAACCTGTCAATTATATTACATTTCTAACAGAAGAAAGCAAACAAAAAGACAAAATACAAAATTTGTGAGTTTGGTAGTTGATTAAACGTCCTTTGACCAGTATCTGGCCACTTGGAGTGCTTCTGGTGTTGCTGCAAGAAAGTCCTCCATTGTGCATGTGGCTGCATTGCAGCAGGTGGTCAATGGTTTGCTCTTCTCCACACTCGCATGCCGTGGATTCCACCCTGTAGCCCCATTTCTTAAGATTGGCTCTGCATCTCGTGGTGCCAGAGCGCAGTCTGTTCAGCGCCTTCCAAGTCGCCCAGTCTTCTGTGTGCCCAGGGGGGAGTCTCACATTTGGTATCAGCCATTGGTTGAGGTTCTGGGTTTGAGCCTGCCACTTTTGGACTCTCGCTTGCTGAGGTGTTCCAGCGAGTGTCTCTGTAGATCTTAGAAAACTACTTCTAGATTTAAGTCGTTGACGTGCTGGCTGATACCCAAACAGGGATGAGCTGGAGATGTCTCTGCCTTGGTCCTTTCACTATTGGCTGCTACTTCCCGCGGATGTCAGGTGGTGCAATACTGGCTAAACAGTGTAATTTCTCCAGTGGTGTAGGGCGCAGACACCCTGTGATAATGCGGCATGTTTCATTAAGAGCCACATCCACTGTTTTAGCGTGGTGAGATGTGTTCCACACTGGGCATGCATACTCAGCAGCAGAGTAGCATAGCGCAAGGGCAGATGTCTTCACTGTGTCTGGTTGTGATCCCCAGGTTGTGCCAGTCAGCTTTCGTATGATATTGTTTCTAGCACCCACTTTTTGTTTGATGTTCAAGCAGTGCTTCTTGTAGGTCAGAGAACGGTCCAGAGTGACTCCCAGGTATTTGGGTGTGCTGCAATGCTCCAGTGGGATTCCTTCGCAGATAATCCTCAGAGCTCAGGATGCTTGTCTGTTCTTGAGATGAAAAGCACATGTCTGCATTTTAGATGGGTTGGGGATCAGCTGGTTTTCCTTGTAATAGGCTGTAAGAGCACCTGTCATGACTCAATACTATTGAATCGTGGGAGGATGCAGCACTCTTTGGCATAGAAGTTTAAAGACCTTATACAGCTATGACTCTCGTGATTCCAAAGCATTGAACTATGGCAGTTAAATCATATCAAATTGCATTAATACTGCAGTGTAGATGTACCTTATGACACCAGTTGAACTGCTGTGGCTCCATAGTGAAATTGTATAGACTTGGGTGTTTAATGTCAAAATCAGGCAGTGAAGAAGCACTTTGGGTTTGTTTTCCTCCAGCAGCTGGTTTTGTATCATTTGAAGTGATAATAGTCAGCATGATTAGTAGCTATTGATCCCCGTCACAAGATGGAAATAACCAAAAGAATGTGGGAATTTGCCTGTAATCCTCTTGTTTTGTTTGCAGGCTGGTGAGACCCGTGACACTGAGGCTTGTGGGCAGAGTCTGCAATTGGAGCATTCATTTGAACTGGGTGAGTATCTGGAATATATCTGAGCATTTAGATTAGTATCTGGGGAAGGATCAGATGTCTATGACACCCTAATCAAAACAAATGTGTCTTGAATTAGTGAATATATTTACAGGATGGGACCACAGGTCACTCTCCTTATTATATGTGCTAGAATGGGTCCTTCTCTACATACAAATATACCTATTCATGTACTTCTGGATGAGGGGGCCTTTCCCATCTATCAGTGTTTGCTGGTACTGGAAAGTGACTCACAATCTAGTTTCTATGTTGTTAAAATTTATCCTGGGGTGTCTGCTACAAGGGTGGCAAAAGCCTTATTCCATTCTCACAAATGTAACAGTTCCTCTTAGAGCAAGGCAAAGTAGATAGTTTTAAGGAATAGCAGGAGCATAAACTATTTGGAGAGCCAAAGGTTTCTTGTCCCTGGATGAACCTTGCTTTTGTGTTCTTTATTTGACCAACAAACACCTCCAAGGTCTTAAGGATGCACCGCTGAAGGGTGTAACTTTTCCAAGCTTTGGCAAGGGGATTAGTGGGTCTGCCTCTGCTGTTGAGAAAAGGGTTGGGAATGAGTGGCACTGGACTTGTCTAGGTGAGAGTGCAATCAGAATGGATAACTGACAGGAGATGTAGTGGAAGCCAAGATTATTGGGATCTCAGGTCATTTAATGGTTGCATGTGCTTGGACCCTTAACGTTTTCTGTGAGGAAAGGGTTCATTTATTCACATACATAGCTGAGGTTCAACTCTAGGTTTTACTGGCAGAAGACGGATGGATTTGACCTTTACTAGGCCATGTATAAATCCGTGAGGGGAAGTCATAGGGTGGAAAGAGCAAGCTTGCTTTCTGCTGCCTAGGACATGAAACAATGGCTTCAAATTACAAGAAAGGAGATTCCACTTAAACATTAGGAAGAACTTCGTAACTGTGGGAGTTGTTCAGCAGTGGAACTCTCTGCCCCGGACTGTGGTGGAGGCTCCTTCTTTGGGAGAGCACAAAGAAAGGGGGAATTAATGCAATTATTACCAAACCTCTTTGGGTAACAGGAACATTTCTGAGCAGAACTCTCTTTAGCAAGAACAAACCTGAGGTCCTGGCCACAGGATGCCGATGAGAATTGGGATACATCCTATAGCAGTGAGAACCAGGATCTAACGCTATGGGTTTCTGTCTCCTGCAGATGACAGTATTCGGTTCAAAAAGCGGGGTACCCTTCTGTGGAATGTAGGCTCTGATGCTAGTCTTTCATTAAACCAGAAGCAGTTGAGCGAAGAGGAGCGCAACAAACTTAGGGTAAGTGTGGTCAAAAGAGAGGGAGATTTTTTTTTCCTGTGTTCAGCTAGTTAGAGAATGAGGATGGTTGTGAAGAAAGATACTTTGGGGAAAGGCCATCTGCTGTGGTGGAAAGAGGAAAAGGTTGTTAGATACATTTGGACAAAGGGAGAAAAGAAATGTGGATTGCATTGACAATGTGTGGGTTTGGGGATAGTTTGCATTAGCCATTTTTAAATGCTTACTAGGGAACTGGCCTTGTAGAAGTGTTGGCTATACTCTGACTGGAGAACTTGAGAAAGCTTGTTCTTTGGACTGCTGCTTCCAGAATCCCTTGTCCCCATGTGATTCCAGGTTGCAGCCCAAAAGTGAACTTTCGCCAGCTAGTACATTTCTAGTTCTTCAGGCTGAGGTCAGACCCTTGCAAATATTTTACATTCAGGGGAGAAGAGGGGAAACAGAACCTAAATTGTTTGTCTAATTGATAGGCAGAATGATTTGCACACAGACCATTATGTGCGGTTTTTTTGTCCAGACTGTACCACTGCAACTCTCAGTGGAAGATGGCACTGCATTTTGGTTTCAATGGTAAAGATAATTATATTTTGCCCCTTCTCATCCAGTAAGAAAACAGAAACTTCAAAGAAGGCGTCTGTAAGGGCTCTGGACATAGGAAGGACACTCTGACACTCTTAAGGCTCCTTCCTTGTCCTCTGCTCCACCAAGGGGTTTGTCAGTCCCTGCTGTTAATCATAGAAGCAAAAAGATCTGTGTAGAGGTAGATTGCAGTTTCTACAGCCCTGGATGAAAATTGATATTTTGATATATAATTCCTCATTTTTGTCTTCTCTCTTCCAGGAAGTGGCTGCTGAGGGTGCACTTTATCGTGTGCGGATTCCAAGGCATCCCTTGGGGATCACTGAAGAGAGTAGTGTTGAATATGTCACCTCTTTTGTCCGAGCAGTGAGTATCTTTTGCCATTCCTAGAGAAGTCTTGTTTAGCCCACTGCCTCTCTTATTGCTGTCCCAGCATCTTCCATTGCCCTAGTAAATACCTTGCCAAATGCATCATAACAATTATTGGGTTAAACGAGGATGTGAAAGGAGTTCATTATTGTTTATTGTTTGTGGCCTCTCTCTTCACTAAATTCTTGACCACTACATTTTTCTAATCCAGACTTTTAAAATCTGGAATACTTTTGGTCTTATTAGACTGAAATTGCTATGGTCCCATGGTTAGTAGGTTGGAGAAAAAAACTGTGATCTTAAACTCTCTAGTAGGATGTGGAAAGCTAGTGGCAAACTCAAGTCAGATTGGTTTCTGAATGGCTTGATTTGTGTCCCTTCTCATTCACCCCACCAAGAGCATATTTGGATAAGCTGAAGAGGTAGGCTTGAGAGCCCTTGTGGAAAAGAATATGATAGTCAACATTTCCTTTCCCCCCCTTTCTTACAGTGCTCTATGGTGGAGTCCCATCTGTCAGATAGGCTGACGGTTCACACAGACATTGCTGGGAATATCATTGGACTTTCCATCGTCACTGTGCCAGGCTCTTGCCATGGGGCAGAGGTGGAGGATGTGGACCTGGAACTGTTTAATACCACTGTCCTCCTTCAGCAGCCCATCCCAGCAGCAGTGTGAGTTTCTGCCTACAGTGTACCTTTGATGGCTTTAAAGGAGGATTAGACAAATTAACGGAAGAAGAATGTGTTGTGGGTACAAGTACTGTCAGTGTGAAACCTCCAGGTTTTGGAGACATGTGCTTGTAGCATTGATTGAATAGGACTTCCTGCCTTTGCAAGTTGTTCTTCCTCCCAAAGGCATTTAGTTGGCTGCTTTGGTGCAACAGGATGCTGAACTAGATAAGCCTTTGATCTGATCCAGTAAACTTCTTATGCTCTTATCAAAACAGAGGGAAGTCAGGATGGGACATGACATTTCTCTATTTGCCATTTTGAGCGGGGATTCGTATATTGGATGCACAATAATAACATACTTGAGAATGTCAAAGACTTAAGAATAAGCATGGGTTATCATGAAGTTTATACTGAACAGAGTTATAAACCACTTGGATGATCCCTCCCAGAATTCCATCAGCTTGGCCACTAACCATGCTGGCTGGGGGATTCTGAGAGTTGCAGTCTCCCCTTTTTAAAACGACCTTTCCTGAGCTCTGACAGTCAGTGCAGTAGAGCATCAGGGTATCTCAGTTCTCTGTAAGAGACAAGGAGCTACAGCCTGACACTTCCAGGAGATGCTTGTTGTGAGCTAGAAGTGGGAAGCAAGATTCCTTATCTTGAAATATGCAGCATCAGCCCCCTCCTAGATTCTTTGAAAGACACTTGCCCAACATTTTAGGAAGGTTAGGTGGAAAACTCCCAGGCAGTTTTGTGACAGTGTTGTGACTCCTTGCTCTTCGTATACAATCATGAGCCTGTTAATTTGGAAGTAGTAGTTTCCAGTGAAGTCAGTGTAGCTTGTGTCTAAGCAGGGTAGCAGCAATTCACACAGCTTTTCAAAGTGTGGAGTAAGTAATGAGAACAGGAGGAAGAAAAGGTAGACTGGAAAGTCAGAATGCAGGTGTGTATGAGGAGAATCTCATATCAGTACATTACAGATTGAATTGTTATTTTGGTGTGCACAGGTGAATTTATGTATCAGTGCAAGGAACTGCAGCACTCCATTTAGTGAGTATTTTTTTTTGTCCAAGAAGCAGACTTTTGAAATGTGTTGAGTGTGAGTGTGTCACATCTGAAAAGGCCATTTGTTTTTAGTCCAAATTAGAAGCTTTTCACCTCTGTCACCAAGGATGGTAAAACATTAAAACATCTGGGCAACTCCTGGAAAAACGTCCTTTCAGACAGCTAATTCTCTCACACCAGAAGTGACTTGTAGTTTCTCACATTGCTCCTGACACAAAAAAAACAAACAAACAAAAAAACCTCTGTCTCACTGGCTTGTGAGTTCTGAGAGGAAAGTTTCCCAGCTTTGTCACCATGGCTTTTCTCTCTCTCTACCAGACCAGAGACAGCAGCATTTATTGAGCGTATGGAACAAGAGCAGGCCCAGAAAGCCAAGAATCCACAGGAGCAGAAATCCTTCTTTGCTAAATATGTAAGTGGTGGAGGAAAGAGTGGGTGTACTCGTCCTCCTTCCTGCTTTATAAAAATAAGAATAGTCTTTTGAGTTCCAGAGCCTGCCTGTTGGCTTGGTTCTTAATCTGGCAAAACTCCTGTTGCTGGGTGGGGATGGAAAGAGAGAGAAGGTTGCTCCTGGCTCTGATTTCTGTTCTCCCCAATCCCTGCAGTGGCATTTAATTCTGGGCGGGGCGGTGCTCCTTCTAGTAACCAGCTCTGCAACAGCCCCTCAGGAGCCAGGACGACAGCCCTGAGCAAAAGTAAAGCTACACCCATCTTCTCTTGCTTCTGTCTCCCTCTGCACAGTTCAGTTTTAGCTTGAACTCCTCTAGTGCTGCCCTTTTCCTCTCCATTTACCCTATCTCCTTGTAGAGAGGAAAAGGCTTCTCTTCCTTCCAAATCTTTCCTGATAATCTCACGTAAAGTCATCTGTGGGAGCTGTTAAAATGGCTGCATCCTCACTCAACCATAAAAACAGTGTGGTTTAGTTCTGTAGGACAGAGGCCAGATGACTTACGGGGGAGACATATGGTTGTTTTTATTATGTGGACCACAGCTCCCATCAGCCCTAGACAAATAACGGGATTGTGGGAATTGTAATCCAAGATCTAGAGAGCCATATGGTTCCTCTCCCCATTATTGTACTTGGTAGATGGTATTCTGGGAGAACCCGATGCCCCCAAGAAATGCTCTCTTGGGGTCTACTCATTTGTAGGGTTTGTGGCAGGAATTTTATTTGCTGCTTCCACTCTTTAAAAGAAAGCAGCGTTTCTCTTTTGACAGCAGAACAGTGCATCCCCTTCTTTTCCCACCCTACTTTTATCCTATTGGATTCCTTGTCTCTTCCCAACTTGAGCATGGTAGCATTGGAGCTCCTCCTTTCTGGTGGCTGGGGTCTGTTCTTCACGGGGCACAATCTTTTTCCCTCCATTGGCTGTCACTGAGGTGAGATCAGCCATAATCCCTGGTGATGGAAGTCTTGTGATCGGGTTTGATGACGAGAATATGTGTTTGTGCAGAGAGAGAAAGATGGAGGAGAGAATGGAAAATGGATTCAAGTACATCACAGGGAGAAATCTTGGAATGCTCTCCTGATGTTGATGGATGGCAATTCCCATTAGCCCTAGCTATACAGCCAGTGGGGAAGGATGATGAAATTTGCCATCCAATGACATAATCCTTCTTCCAAAGTGGAGGAACCTGTGAGGGGAGCTGGTTGTTGTAGGATGTTGTGATCACTGAGCAGAAAGGACATGTGAGGAAGAGGTGTGGCTATGCCAGTGGTTCTCAACCTGGGGTCCCCAGATGTTTTTGGCCTACAACTTCCAGAAATCCTAACAGCTGGTAAACTAGCTGGGATTTCTGGACGTTGTAGGCCAGAAACATCTGGGTACCCCAGGCTGAGAACCACTGGGCTATGCACAGAAGAGAACCTATTTCTTGTTTGCTCCTCTAATTTTCTTTCTCTTTCTTTCCCCCCACAGTGGATGTACATTATTCCCATTGTCCTTTTCCTGATGATGTCTGGAGCACCCGATGCAGGGGGGCAAGGAGGGGGCAATGGAGGCAGTGCTGGGGGAGGGGGCCGGTGAGTGGGGATTGCATCTTTTCCTGGGTTGTGGAAAGGCATGGTGTAAATAAATATTATCAAGAAAAACAACAGAACCTCTCCTGGCTTGACTTGTGGGAGCAGACCTTGACCTTGTGGGAGCAGACCTTGACCTAACTTTGGGACAGGGTTGAGAAGTTTGAGAGGAAAACCTGAGGTGATTACTAACATGCGCTCTATCAGGTGCTGCCTTTGGAAGCTGTTCAGCCATAGTGCTGAATGAGGCCAGTTATAGGGAATGCTGAAACCATTTCACAGGCTACTGCTCTGTTATAAATCACCTTGACTCCCAATTGAGGAGAAAGTTGGGATGCAAGTAAATTAATACATGCATACATACTGGGATTAATTCACTCCCCGTATATACTCAAGTATAAGCCGACCCGAATATAAGTTGAGGCACCTAATTTTACCCCCCCAACCCCCCCCCCCAAAAAAACTAGGAAAACGTGACTCGAGTATAATCTGAGGGTGGAAATGCAGCCGCTACTGGTAAAGTTCAAAATAAAAATAGATACCAATAAAATTACATTAATTGAGGCATCAGTAGGTTAAATGTTTTTGAATATTTACATAAAATTTAAGATAAAGCTGTCCAACTTATTCTAACCTTATTCAATGTAAATGTGCTTCTGTATCCTTCCAATAATAATAGAGAGTAAAATAATAAATGTAACAAAAATAATAATAGAGTAAAATAATGGAAATGTAATAATAACTAATAATAGAGTAAAATAATTGTAATAATAATGGAGCAAAATAATTAATGCAATAATAGAGCAAAATAATATAATAACAGAGTAAAATAATGGAAATTTAATAATAACAGTAAAATAATAAATGTAATAATAGAGTAAAATAATAAATGTAATAATAATAGAGTAAAATAATGTACAATAATAAATGTAATAATAATAGAATAAAATAATACATGTAATAATAATAATAATAATAATAATAATAATGCAGTAAAATAATAAATAACCTTGACTCGAGTATCAGCCGAGGGGGCTTTTTAAGCTTAAAAAGTGAGCTGAAAAACTTGGCTTATACCCGAGCATATACGGTAATTATGTGCTCTGTTCCCGAAGTGTGCAGTTCTCCTCAAAGAAACTCAGAATTTGCTTCTAAGATTCAGTATTAAAAATGGTCATGTGGCAAAGCCATACTACCACCTTTAATTGTCTGGTAGATGATGGGGACTGTAATCCAAGCACAGATAGAGCCCAGCAGAGTGGGTTTCTGGTGTTTGGTTTCAAAAAGGTTGACGTTGTAATAGTTATTCATTGGGTGCATCTATTACTAGAAAGGGGAGGCTGAAAACTGAGGATCTTTTAAAGCTTTAAAATTGTGTGGATGTTGTTGTGCTGGAAAGGGATGTAGAATCAGTAAATTGCAGCTGCCGCTTCTGATAACGCTGAAAACAAAGGCCATGCCTGAGAGGAGACAGTAGGCAGCTTAAGAGATTCATTTACTTTGTGCCAGGTACTGTTTGCTCTATATGTGATATATTTGTACCCGGGATTTGCCTTCTAGGGGCAGAAAGCAGAAAGAGTCTGCTAAAAGAAACTTGCACACAATTCATTCATTAACATGCCCATTGCTGTGCTCTCATTCTCAAGTGAGGTGAGATTTTGGATATAGATTTGTGTGTGTTGAACTAACAGCCCATATCAGTCCAAACCAGCCTGATATAAGTTTCTTATCTTATGTGTATTTGTATGCTCACACGCACCTTGTTTCTGCTCTAAAGACGTTTAAAGGCAGGACAATGTGTGGCCCATCAGATGGTGTTGGAAATGCAGTTTGCATCATCCCTTGCCATCATGCGAATGCTCTGAACTTTGGGAAAAGTCCGTTCTTCCTACCTGCTGCAACCCAGGACCCGGCTGTGTAGATCCCCCGCTCTGGTGGTGCCAGCCGGTGTTCTTCCATGCTGCGTCCCTCCAAGTGTGGGACACTCCTTGGATGTGTGGCCCAGCTTGGCCTGCTTAGAGCTATCTGGAGCCTCTGTAGCTACAGCAACCACAAAGGAACAGAATGCGGAACAAGGAGTCATTCTAGAACAGGAGAAGGAAACAATGGAGAATGTTGCCTTCTCAAGGGTTGATCCATTGTGGTGTTAGGGACAATTAGTATATTTTCCTTTGTTAATTAGGACCTGTCAGGATTTGCAAATTCATGTTCAGGTTATAAAAAATGAAAGATAAAATATTTGAATGTGAGAATAATTGACATCGCTCTGTTTTGTCTGAAAATGACGGCTAGAATGTTTGGGTGCTTTCAGGGGCCATCTGCCTAATAAGGATGATGGTGTGACCTGTCATTCCTCTTTTATCTTCACTAGAGTCCTTAGAGTAGGGGGTGAGGACTGTGTAGGTCCCTTTGTTTGAACAATACATTGCTGTATGTTGTCCTTACCATAATTTCATATAATGCACATGTGGTGTCTTGGTCCACTGCAACAGCCTGAAATAAGTGCTTCCAATTCCAAGTGTAGCCACTGTTTATGAAAGGGGTGAATCCAAATCTATTTCATAGAATCATAGAGTTGGAGGAGACGTCGTGGGCCATCCAGTCCAACCCTCTACCAAGAAGCAGGAAAATCGTATACAAAGCACCCCCGACAGATCCAGTCTCTGTTTGAAAGCCTCCAAAGAAGGAGCCTCCACCACACTCTGGGGCAGAGGGTTCCACTGCTGAACAGTTCTCAGAGTTAGGAAGTTCTTCCCAAAGTTCAGGTGGAATCTCCTTCCCTGTAGTTTGAAGCCATTGTTCCACATTCTAGTCTCCAGGGCAGCAGAAAGCAAGCTTGCTCCCTCCTTCCTATGACTTTCCCTCACATATTTATACATGGCCACCATGTCTTCTCTCAACCTTCTCTTCTTCAGGTTAAACATGCCCAGCTCTTTAAGCCGCTTCTCATAGGGCCTGTTCTCCAGACCTTTGATCATTTGAGTCTCCCTTCTCTGGACACATTCTAGCTTGTCAACATCTCCCTTCTACTACAGTGTCCAGAGTTGGACACAGTGTGCCAAGTGTGGTCAGACCAAGACAGAATAGAGGGGTAGCATAACTTCCCTGGATCTAGACACTATACTCCTATTGATGCAGGCCAAAATCCCATTGGCTTTTTTAGCCAGCACATGACATTGTTGGCTCATGTTTAACTTCTTGTCCACGAGGACTCCAACATCCTTTTCACACGTACTGTTGTCGAGCCTGATGCCCCCCCCCCACATTCTTTATCTTTGCATTTCACTTTTGCATTTTGCATTTCATCCCCTACTTTTAGGTCACACTTATCTTTATCTCCTAAAAAGTCATCTTGTGTGTGTGTGCAGACACTAGACTGATTACATTTTTTTCCTCCAGTTTTATTGATATCACGGTTTAGCAGCAGCTTCAGTTTCCAAACCTATTGCAAAGAGAGATCACCTTCCGGCCCCCTCCCCTCCCCCACTGATGCTGGTGGGGTCGTCCCCAAGCAATGGGGGGAGGTATATGGCTTTTCCCAAAAAAAGGGGGACAGAGGTTTAGGAAGCAGGGCTGGTTTTGTTTTCCCTTTTTTTGTCCCCTTCCCCCCTACATCGTTTCACACACCGAGAAAAAACAAACCAACCCCAAACCAACCATAAACAGGACAAAATCTCAAAAGACAAAATGACAAATGGACGTGCGGGAGGGAGGGCGAGACAAAACAAATGAAAAAAATCGACATTCCAAACAAGAAGAAACAGGGGTAAATAGGGACAGCGCAACACAAGTGGGAGCAGAACTAGGACACCTAGGTTCTCTGACCCAGCACTCTCCCAGATGAAGTCTGGGAATGGCTCCCCTACCTAAAGTAGGCAGCGAACAACCATGCAAACCCCCAGAAGAACCAAAATCAACTAGGCTTAGGGAAGGAGGGAACGAGACACACTTTTACCCCCATACACTTACACACACGCATACACAGAATAGTCCAGAATCTGCAGCCTATGTTGGGAGGTCCAATAGGCCCAAATCTGGCTTTGAACAAGAGACGAGCTGGGCCTTAAATGTTCTCCATCGTGGAGCCTTTTTCTTGAAAATGTCTCAAGCCCTTTTCCGATTCGTGTCAAGGAACGTCGTGATCATTCTTCGACACTGGGGCGGAGAGGGAAGGGAGGGCATGACTGTTGCGTAGTCCTTTAGCGCCACTTCCAAAGCTGTCTCTCCAGGCGAAGTGTTGGGGGAAGGAAGTTCCACCATTCCCTGGTCTCCCTCCTCCTCCTCCGAGGTTGGAGGTTCATGCAGATTGAGGCAAAGGATCCTGCATGCATGCTGGCAAAATGGAGGAAACCACCCTACCCCATCCAGCTTGGGCAGCAAGAAAGATAATTCCCAATTTCCCAAAAGGTCTATCATGATGAGACTAAGAGAGTTTGGAGCACCCCCTCGACAAAAGACCTCAGTTAACTTTGTTCTAAATTCACAGCTGAGAAAAGGGCTTCTTGCAATGATGGGAGGACAGCTTCCAACAGCAAAATAATGCCCCCACTCTCTATTTTCCCCTGATAGAGAAATCTGTGGCTCTAAGAATCAGAACTCCCAACAGAGAAGTTGTATCTGTTGGACTTCTGCCAGCCATGCAGCTTATTAAAGCCACAGAATCTCTGTCGGAACAAAAGAGTGACGCCCTCAAAAGCTTTCAGCCTGACTCTTCCTCCAGAACAGAGACTTCCCGCAAAACATGCACGTCACAAAAGTTGACCCTGGCCCACTCCTTGTAAAAAGATGAGGGGGGAAAGGCTCTTTCCACACCCGACAACTGATAACACGCGCCCCATCCCGTTTTAAAAATGCTCTTTCGTGGCTGCCTTTATGGCTTCAGAAAAAAAATGCAACAGGCAGCAACTTCCTGGGGGAGATGGAGATTGAGGAAGGGCAGAATCTTGCCACCCGGTCTCAGATGCCCCCGTTGGCACATCTTCCAGTGTAGATCAGAGGAAACAAACAGTCCAGAAAGTTCCAAGAGCACGTCGCTGGAACCCTAAAAGAAAGAACAAGAGAGAAAAAGCCCAATATCCTATTTTTCCAAATCTCCTTTCTTCACTACCTCCAGCTTTCATGTGAACAATTCTTTTAGACCCATAGTTACTCTGCCCAAAGCTACTTCTTTGCTCTTTACGGCTGTTCTGGATGTTAGGTAGTGATAGTTCTTGATCCTGGAAGGCACAACAGGTGAAATACTGCCCATGGAATCCTTGTGTACCAATGTGATGGATGTTCGCTACTGGTTAATTTGCCCTCCCCGCAAGTAACCTTACCAATTGCCCTTTTCCAGTTGAGAATCTAAAGGAGATCTCAGTAAATGGGAGCTGTCAATCTGCAACATAAAACTAGAATTTTGGAAATTTGTTTTTAAGTTAGGACATAATTCCAACCACTGCTTCCACTGGAGCAGGGCATCAATTTGTTCCAGTCTGGCTTCACATGACTTTCGATGCAGAATGCAACATATTAGCTATGGACCTGAAATTTGTCCCATTCGTTTCATTTGTGTTTCCATTTCATTTCGTCCATTTGGATGGCATGAAACGGAAAGGCCCCTCCTGGAATGAAAATGCAATTGATACGAAAGGCAGGCAGGAGCGGGTCTGGCTCCAAGCCTGCTTTTCAGATTGACTGCCTGGGACCTGGCAGGGCCTGCAGCGGGGTGCCAAGTAAGGTGTGTTCCTTACTCGGCACTCAGCTGCAGACCTTGCCAGACTTGGGTACATAATCCCAAAGCCTGCACCCATAGGCCCAAAGTGCCCGGGCCTAGGTGTGCAGGCTTTGGGCCTATGCACCTGCGCCTCGCAGGCCTGCGGCCGAGCGCCAGGTAAGGATCACTCCTTACTTGGTTCTACCAGGCTTGGGCACATAGACCTGTGGGCCAAAGCACCCAAGCCTACGGGTGATGGCTTTGGGCCTACACATCTGGGCCTCACAGGGCCTGCAACCAAGCACTGAGTAAGGAACACCCTTAACCCTGCACCTGTAGGCCCGGGCGTTTTGGGCCTACAGGTGAAGTCCCTCTCCCCAATAATGGACCAAAAGAAAATGGATTTTTCGGCCCTCAAAACAAAACAAAACAAAACAAAAAACATTTCGAGAAGCTCAGACGAAAATGGATCAGTGCCCCCACTGAAAGCTGGGACCCGAAACGGATCAAGGTTAAGTCCTGAGTGCACATGACTACACCCTATCTAAAGGGATGGCCTTCAATGAGATGAAAGCAATGAGCCATAAAAGAGCTGCACTTGCATCCCTCTCCTGGCCAAAGGGAACAATGCATGAAGATCTTGAGTCAAGAAAGGTTGAATAGGCAAAGCAGATCCCAAATGAAGTAAAATAGTCAGTGGTGGCATCACAGCAGGTCTTTGGGACAGAAATATAAAAGGCAGCTCCCTTACAGTAGGGTGGATTTAACAATTTTTGAAATAACTGATTTCACCTTCAAGTCCAACAAAATGGCCTCTCCCACCATTAGATTTAATGGCCTTGTGATGGAAAGACATTTTGACCTGTATTACTCCCAGTGGTGCAGCTAAGAGTTTTTGGATGTGAAGACTCTCAACATTCCTAGCTACCCAACTGGGAATAATGCAGGTCAAAATCTGGTAACTATTTTCAAATGGTTGTTTTCTGCTAAAATGAAGGCCATGCATCCATTTCTCCATCCCATTTGCCAGAAGTACTCACAGTCCCTGGTGGCAAAGGGCTGGCTGGTCCACCTTAATCCGAATGTACAGTTTCTACAACAATACTGGGTTTGTCCCTTGCTGGAGGATTCTTGTTGATGTAGATGTTCAAAGTTTTTTCCTGAAGAGAGGAGAGGAGGAAGCAAGAGAAGACTGTAAATCAAACAGCAGGTTCTCAGAACTGGCAAATGCTTCCAGTTGAGCTAAGAACCACAGAACTATCAATATCATCACTGGACCCCAAATTCTTGTTTTCTTTTTCTTTTACCGAGGAGGCAGAAGATGTAGCTGTTCATTCTTCACTATGTACTAATCCACTTACCGTATATACTCGAGTATAAGCTGACCCAAATATAAGCCAAGGCACCTAATTTTACCACAAAAAACTGGGAAAACATATTGACTCAAATATAAGCCAAGGGTGGGAAATGCAGCAGCTACTGGTAAATTTCAAAATAAAAATAGATACCAATACAATTACATTAATTGAGGCATCAGTGGATTAAATGTTTTTGAATATTTACATAAAACTGTAATTTAAGATAAGACTGCCCAACTGATTAAACCATTATTCAGAACTTCTTCAATGTAAATGTGCTTATGTATCCTTCCAATAATAATAAAAATAATAAATGTAATAACAACAATAATGATAAATAAAATAATGAAAATGTAATAACAGTAATAATAGAATAATAAATGTAATAATACTAATAATAATCGAGTGAAATAATAAATGTAATAATACTACTACTAATAACAATCAAGTAAAATAATAAATGTAATAATAATAATAATAATAATAACAACAACAACAACAGAGCAAAATAATAAATAACCTTGACTCGAATATAAGCCGAGGGGGACTTTGTCAGCCTTAAAAAAGGGCCAAAAAACTAGGCTTATGCTCGAGTATATACAGTAAGTTTCACATTTGTCCTTGGCTTTTCAGCCCAAACCCATCTAAGTTAAAATTTCAGTTACTTTCTTTTCCAGCATTCACATTGTTCAGGCTTTGTGCATTCTTTAGAAGCACGACTTTATGCTTGGAATACACTACAAAGTTCTCTCTTATATCCTTGTAATACCACTTGGACGTCACGATGGCAGCATTTCTTTCAAGTGCCAAGCTGTTGCTGCATCATTGCCTTCAAAGCCTCATAATAAAGCTAGTTCCCAAAAGAGAAAAAGATTAACGCTTAGTTTGTAATACAGAAGACAGTCTGGATCAACATGTTCCTATCAAGTATGAGTGGTCTTCTATTGTTCCTGCTTTAAGAACATAAAGACATAAGAAGATAACAGGAAACGGTGCTGGATCAGAACAAGTTTTCTAGTCCTGATTTCTGTTTTCTCAGTAACCAGCCCTGTGCCTCAATGGGATACCAGCAGCAGAAAATGAGTACAGCCAGACCTCTCCTATGCACTGATATTACCTTAGATACAACACTAACATATAGGAAACACTGCATGAACACCAAGCACAAAGTAGCTGCACACAATAACATCCCATGGAAACTTACTGGCAGCACACGGGGTGCAGCCCCGAAATTAATAAGAACATCAGCCCTGGTCTTGTCTTACTCAACTGCCGAGTATGCCTGTCCTATTTGGCACAAGTCTGCCCACGTGAAGCAGGTGAACATAGCATTGAATGAAACATGCAGAATAATCACAGGATGTCTTAAACCCACAAGCTAGCTGGCATTGCCCCCACTGATGTGCAATGGGAAGTTGCTGCTAACTGGGAGAGAAATAAGGTTGAACACTGTGAAAGCCATCCATTGCATGGCTGTCAGCCTCCTCCCAGTTGACTCAAATCAAGGGAAAGCTTCACGAGAACCACCACTCCTCTTAACGTTCCCCCAGCAATAGCAAGAATCTCCCTCTGGGTAGCTAAACCTGGAAATCCCAATTGGATGGCCCCCTCATGAGAGTCTGCCTTCATGGGCAAACAAAGAATGGACAACTTGGAAGTCCCTGAACAGACTCAGAAGTGGAGTGGGCAGATCAAAAGACAACATGGCAAAATGGTGCTACCTAAAAGAATCCTCCCCCTTGTGCGACTGTGGAGCAGAACAGACAACTCCGTATCTGTATGCTTGTCCGCAATGTCCTGCCTCACGTACAGAGGAAGAGTTGTTGGAGGCTACAGACAATGTGATTGCTGTTGGCCGTTTTTGGTCAAAAGATATTTAGCTACTTGTGCTCTGATTTTTATCAGTTTTATACTAATTTATGTAATGCTTTTGATACGAAATAAAATAAACTGGTATCAGAAAGCAAATTGCCTTTAAGGTTGATTAGTAGCTACTAAGTGCTTTATTCTTCATGGATTTGTATGATTCCCACATCATCAGAATGATACCCAGTATCATTTCAACAATTCCCAGTATACCAGCCTCACCTCCACCAGCTGGTGCCAGTGTTCAATGGGTTTACGCGGGTTTGCCAGCATCTCAGCCCAGTGGTCTCTTCCAGGTGCGTCGGCATCACTGCCCACTCGGCACATCCCAATGACTTCATTGTGCCCAATGCTGAGGACAGAAAGAATATTTCAGTACCAGCCATCCAGAGAAGAAGAGGGCAAGCAGTGAAGGGGAAAGGCTAGCTTTCTCGCTCATAATAAGTTATGTCCAGTGTGCATAAGGGTATAACAAATCTGCATAATTAATTTACACTGTGATTTTGAGGAATGGGAAGGGCAGTTGAATGCTGGAAGATTAACAAGAAATGATGTTTTTAAAGCTTACTATGAATTCTTCCTATTCACACACTTTGAAACAACCACTGATAATAACAATTACTGTAATCACCAGCACTTTATCTTTATGGAACTTCAAAGCAAATGCTCAGTTAGTAAAATAGACCTTGACATTTGGGAGTTGTAGATTATAGTTCACCTACAATCAAAGAGTATTCTGAACCCCACCAATGATAGAATTGGGCCAAACTTCCCACACAGAACGGAATGGAATGGATATATGGACTCTGAACCCGAGCATGAGATTGTTTCTAATATTTTATTATGTGTTGATTTGTTTTTGGGCATCTAATTGTGCCCCCACTGTAAGCCGCCCTGAGTCCCCCCCGGGGTGAGAAGGGCGGGGTATAAGTAAATGAAATAAATAAATAAAATAAATAAATAAAACCCCCATGCCTTGAAGGGACTCGCTGGTGCAAGCCTCCCTCAAATCCCGCACACTCTCCCTGCTCTCCACTCCCCCATTTGGAGCCTCAGAAACAGCCCTCCCCTTGGCCGAGAGGCCTGCCAATCACAGCCGGGGGGGGGGGGGCTTTTGGTGGGCGGTTTCACAGTCTGTTTCCAAAAAGGAAGAGATGGACAGGTGGAGAAATCTTCAGCCTTCCATGCCAAAGGGGTTTTTAAGACCATCAGAAATATGTTTTCTGATGATCTATCTATAGTAACCCCTCTGAAACCCTCTCATGACCCCCTGGTTGAGAAATGCTGCTCTATTAAGAGTCTTGATTTCCATGGTCCTCTTTCATTGAATCCCTAAGGACAGCATCCTCTTAGTAACATGCAAGCATAATCCACTTTATGCTTATATAGTTTTTTTGAGGGGAAGGAGGGGAGGAGTGTCTGGACTAGGCTGACAAAGGTCACCTTAAAAGCTTTGTAGCTAAGTGGCTCTCCCAAGTTCTATAACCATTACAGTGTTGACTCTCCTTGTAAACTGGGGTTTGTGAGTGTGACTCACCAATCGTAATCCATGACTGCCAATGTGATGCTGACGTGCTCCATGCTGTCCTGGGGGATGTCGAACACAAGGGCCTCATTGTAACTGGGGTTAAGAGTATTCTTCTTGATGGATGTCTTGCGCTTCTTCAATCGTCGTCCTTCACACATAAGGGAGGCCTTAACATAAGGATCTAGAAAGAGGCATGGGAAGGATAGAGGAAGGAGACAAAGTTACAGCAAGGCGTGGGAAGTGGTCCAAACTATAGAAAGGCGGAGTTCAAACCTATGCTGCCTATCACCTGCCTTTGACATTTCTCCCCATCCTGCCTCTGAAAACAATGATCCAAGTCTACCATTACTATTAGGCACAGTGAGGAAAACATCTCAAGCAGCAGATGCTGAGAGGCAGCAATAAAGGCTCCCAGGCTGTTCCCCAGGGAGCCCCTCGGCCTTTGGCAAATAGAGATGTGCAAATGTTACTTGGCCTTTGCTGTATGCACAAATGCAATATGCCTCACTACTCTCTTTCCCTCAGTGAACTATGGTTGAATTACTAGCCCACTTCATTTCTGTGCATAGCATGGTTGCATGGGACCCCCTGATGGTGCATTGGGTCAAACCCTTATGCTGACAGGACTGAAGACCGACAGGTCAGAGGTTTGAATCCGGGGAGAGCATGGATGAGCTCCCTCTGTCAGCTCCAGCTCCCCATGTGGGGACATGAGAGAAGCCTTCCACAAGGATGGTAAAACATCAGAAACATCCAGGCGTTCTTGCAGACAGCCAGTCTTCTCACACCAGAAGTGACTTGCAGTTTTTCAAGTTGCTCCTGACATGAAAAAGTGGTTGCAGTTTTAACTCTTGTTGGTCAAAAATAATGACAGTGTATTATGCAACATTGTGATTGCCGAACACTGTTTCCCAATTCAATTTGAGCTATTTTTTTGGTGGCTGAGGTACAATTTCTTTGAATGCCTAGCTTGCTTTCTCCTTTACTTGTCCAAGCAGGAGGTCAACATGGAACACCTGATCTAAACACAGCAGAATGTGATACTGCAAGGGAAGGCAAACCATACTCAGGAATGCTTAGATGAATGGAATGATTCCTCAAAAACAGAAAATAATGTTCCAGCCTTTCCATCTTGATGTCTTGTATTTTTCTTGGAAGTCAGAAACCCATATAGCTCCAATGCAAATCATCTATGGCTTTCTCAGAGATATAGAGCATGAGAAAGTTATTACTTTAGACTGCAGCTCCTACATACCCCCAACCAATAGCCAATGGCCATACTGGCAGGGGGATCTTGGGAGTTGTTCAAAACAGGAACATTTCCAAACTTCAAGTAGTTGTCAGTCTATCTTTTACTCACTCCTACTACAGCCGCTTAATATATTCTCTCATTTGCATTGTACCATTTTGTCTTTTCCTGCATAACTACTCACCTTTCCCCCTGCTTTCCCCAATTTGGCCCTTTTGGGCCATTCCTTCAGGGCTCTAAACCCAGTCCACATTCCAGGATCCCATGACTTTTGCTCTAACACTAATATTAATCACAACCGGGGCTCACCAGAAAATCCAGTCAGATCCATGGCTTTGAGGTTGGTAGCCTTGATGATGGTGACTGTGAGACGTCCGGCTGTGGGCAGGTAACAGAGGGAGAAATTCAGCTCCCCCAAATCTGCTTTTTCCTATGGAGATGGAAAAAAGACCCAATGAATGCTTTAGAATCCATGAAAACAAAACACAAAAATATTGGAAATATTGAAGCAGAGGGTGGGGAGCCACTTGTCAAAGATTCTGCAGTTACATCCTGTGCTGCGGATCTTGTGCCAGGGAATGGGTTGGGTGAGATGAACTCTCTGAAAAGACCCTTCCAAATCTACACATCTATGATTCAATCTGAGGAAGAAGGAAGTCCTCAAACGGAAAGGTGGGATGGACTTGCTGGATTTACATCAACACCATCCCTGGAGAGATGTTCACCTCCATCTTCTACTTGCCCTTCAGTGTTGACAGATAGATGGGACTAAAATATGGTGGCTTTCCAGAAGCAGTTGAGATTCATCATCCTCAGTCAGTATGGCTAATGGTCAAGGATTATGAAAGATGCAGCCCAACAACACATTCCTTGCTACTAAGTGCAGTGGTGCAATGAGATAAACACTTGTGCTGCTGAACTGCTTGACCTGAAGGTTGGCAGATTGAATCCGCAAGATGGGGTAAGCTCCCGCTGTTAACCCTAGCTCCTACCAACCTAGCAGTTCGAAAACATTCAAATGTGAGTAGATAAATAGGTACTGCTTCGATGGGAAAAGGCAAAGAGACGATCCAAACAGTCATTCCAGCCACACGACCAGGAGGTGACAACGCAGGCTCCTTGGCTTGAAAATGGAGAAAAACACCTCCCTCAGAGCCAGAGACGAGCACCGCCTCCAGAAGCCGGAAATGAAAGTAGAAGCCTCTGCCTTTGTTTGTGTTTATGTATCTTATTGTATGTAATTGTTAGACATTGAATGTTTGCATATGTCTACTGTAAATGCCGTAATTATCTTTGAGTCCACTAGGGGAGAAGGGTGGAATATAAATAAAATGTATTATTATTATTATTATTATTATTATTATTATTATTATCTTAACTATTTCTCCATGGCACTTTAATGGAGACTGGCATTCCATTCTAGAAACCATGCCTTAAAACAAACCCACGAATTATCCCTGAAAGCAGTCATGGGAATCAAAATTATCTTCCAATTTAATAATGGTAATATATAAAATCTAGGGGAAGAATACTCCAATCTCTCAAGATACTCAAACTAATCTTAAAATGACGACTTTTGAGCTAAGGGATTTCAGAAGATTTGAACAAGATAAGGATTCATACCTTTCAAGTCTAGTATGAATCTGGGCCATTTATTCTTAATTCATTATGCTTATTAATAGACTGGTATTCAAATAATGTTGTGCATGGACAGTTAAGATATCTTCAAAATACAAGACTCGCTGTCATTTTGGGAAAACACAAGAATGCAGCGACTCCTTTGGAAACAAGACTCACCTCTGTGATATTTTACTTCTTCATAACTTGGTTGTCCCCACCTCCCCCCCAACCTAAATCCATAGATTATTCATGCCAGGAAAATGTATGCTACAACCTTCGTTCTCAGTCTCACTTTGCATACTGATCCAGACATGCATGGTTATCTCTTTGAAATCTTCCTCTAACTTGGTCTATTTATATTCTGCCTTTCCACTGTACCATCTTTCCAAATGACTCACCAGAAATACAACCATCGATAAAAATAATCAGAAATATAAAAATAACACGAATACCACAACGGGCTCAGATAAAAGCAAAAAGAGTCAAGAAACAGATTGTGATACATTTCTCAAATAGAAAAGGAGTTTTTAATTTGATACCCAAAGGAAAGATAATGTAGCAGCCTCACAAATTCATTGCGGGGCAGGGATATTTCTTAAGTCGGGTGCCAGAGCATTCCTGGGAATCTTTCTTCGGCCCCTTCCACACAGCTGTATAAAATCCGCATTGAACTACGTTTATGGCAGTGTAGACTTAGATAATCCAGTTCAAAGCAGATACTGTGGATTATCTGCCTTGATATTCTGGGTTATATGGCTGTGTGGAAGGGCCCTTCCTCAGTCATGGTTTGCCTCACCACTGGTTTTTCGGGGATCTTAGAGAGTCCCCACTGAAGACCTTAAAATGGATGGGAAACTTGTAGCCCTTCAGATGCATACTCTTTACCAATTCCAATTTGGCAGGGACCATCCCAATGAATCCTCCATCGTAATAATGTCCCAATTTCTCTTTCTCTCTTCTTCACTGTCTTCAGCTTGCTTTATTTGCTGGAAATTGAGTTCAAAGCATAAAAGTAATTTGCACTCAACTAACATAGCAGGGAGGAGAGGGAAGACTCTTTCCCCAATTGTTTTAAGCCAGTGGTTATTTATGTATTTAGAGCATATTTATATCCTGTCCTTCTCTACCCCCGAAGGGGGACTCGGGACAGCTTACAATTGGCAGTCATTAGATGTCGACAAAGAAACAGTTAGAACAAAACAATTCACATAAACAAGTCAACAACAATAAAAAATACATTAAAAAGCAATAAAATACATTAAAAATATTGGCCCTTAAAATATTAACACAACCAAATCTGAGTCCACAAATGCAAATCATAGTCCAGAGATTCAGTCCAAGGTATCTTAACTGACAATTCTCACGAGTCATTACAGTTGTTGCTCAGCCAGCTGCCCAAATGTTTGGTCCCAAAGCCAAGACTTGTGTGTCTTCCTGAAGCAGAGGAGAGCTGGAGTTGCCCTGATTTCACTGGTGAGTGCGTCCTATAGACTGGGGGCTACCACCAAGAAGGCCCTGTCTCTCATCCCTGCCAATCGCGCTTGCGAGGGCAGGGCCTCTCCTGACGATCGTAAACTCTGAGGTGGGTCATAGAGGGAGATAGTTTCAGACAAGTAAACTGAGCCGGAACCATTTAGGGCTTTCCCAACCTTTTTCTGACCAAGGACCACTTGACCATTAGTACCAAAAGGGTTACGAATCAGTTTTTGGTCAACTTAAAATTCAGTTTGGTTATTTGGGGTGCTGATTCAGAAAATTGCATTGGATAGACCATATCAGCTCCAGTTTCTGATACAGAACATATGCCATCCAGTAGTCATCACAGAAGCCCATACTTAATAATCTAGTGATAATGTAGTCTATCCAATGCAATTTTCTGAATCAGCACCCCAAAAAATCCAAGGAACAGGCCTAAAAATGAGGATACCATGGAGCCCCCGCTTTCAGGGGCCACATGGAATGGTTCTGCTCAGGGGGAGGGAGGAGGAGAAGCAGCAGTCAGGAGGCTTGTTGTCGCGCCTTTCATGGGTACTTGGCTTCTCCCCTTCCAGCACCCCCGTTGCCTCAGCACTATAAGAGGGTTTTGCAAGAACAATTGCTCTTGTTGCACTGGTGTATTAACAATGAGACCGCAGACCATATTTTAGTTTTTGTGGACCACTGGTGGTCCATGGACCACAGGTTAGGAACCACTGTTTTAGGCAAAAGCAAACTGCTGCAGCCTTTCCTAGCTTGTGTGTTCATCCTTATTAATAACTTCTGCTACCTTTATCACACTGTAAGGTTGTTTAGCTAGATATGACCCAGTTTTATCTGTGAAATGTTGGAGAGTATGTAATTTCTATGCATTCAGGTTTGGTAGTGTAATCTGGGAAAGGTAGAGGTGAAAAATGCTTCCTATTCTTTCTGAAATTGTCTGACTCTGGCTTCGATCCAGATCAAGATAAACATAAAGTATATTTATGAGCCTAAATATCCCAAGGACACCAGATTCTGTCTGATCTTGGAAGCTAAGCAGGGTCAGCCCAGATTAATACTTGGATGGGAAACTGCCAACAAATACTAGACTGTCGAAGGCTTCAATGGCTGGAATCACTAGGTTGTTGTAGGTTTTTTGGGCTATATGTGACCTCACAACCTCTGAGGATGCTTGCCATAGATGCAAGCAAAACGTCATGAGAGAATGCTTCTAGAACATGGCCATATAGCCCAAAAAACCTACAATAACCCAAATACTAGATTCCTTGCCTAAGCAAACGGCATGAAATTCATGGGGTCGCCATAAGTCCACAGGTGACTTATAGGCATGTACACATATGGGCATGGCATATCAACTAAAATCAATTGGACATAGTAAATGGTAAATGGTAAAGTCTAGTCATGTCCGACTCTGGGAATTGGTGCTCATCTCCATTTCTAAGCTAAAGAGCCAGCATTATCCATAGTCACCTCCAAAGTCATGTGGCTGGCCTGACTTGCATGGAATGACGTTACCTTCCCGCCAAGGCGGTACCTACTGATCTATTCACATTTGCATGTTTTTAAACTGCTAAATTGGCAGAAGCTGGGCCTAACAGTGGGAGCTCACCCCACTCCCTGGATTTGAACCTGCGACCTTTCGATCAGGAAGTTCAGCACCTCAGCTGCGCTACCAGTAGGACATAGGTAACCTTTTTATTATTTACACCCATTTCTTTGCCAGAAAGGATGCTCAATATGCATAGCAATAAATTATCCATTAACAACCAACCATTCAGATCCAAAATAAAACAAACCTATTGAAAACCACCACAACAAACGGCACAGCCAGAAACCCAACCTCTTGTTTAATTTCAGCAGCTCTAGTTGAAATATGACTAAGACGGGATTCAATCCACAGCCCGTCAAACACAAAACCAAATTATCAGTTCATAAATGCAAGCATTTGTCAGATTTCACTGCTTTCCACTCAGATTATACATTTGATTTTGAAAGAATATTAACAATTACCATAATGAATCAATCATCACCCATTCATTTCCTCGAGGGTCCTTTTTCCTGGCGCTGTCAACCAGACTCTGTTTTCTCATGTTTGGGTTATGCAAAGCCTTCAAAGGCACACACAGAAATACATTTCATTTACGTGTGGAAATTCAACCATATTTGACAAACAAAAGGAAGTAAAGACGTGACACATTTCTTCTCCTTCTATAAAACCCCAGCAAGGAAAAAGTATTGTCTTAAAAGGAAGGGAGACGGCTTAAATTGGCACATATTTACAAACTGTATTGTATTGGTACATATTTACAAATTGTATTGATTGTCTGGGGA